AGGGGGAGGGGAGGGGGAGGGGAGGGGCATAAAAAGAATTTGAACTAGTGGAAAGAGCACTAGCTTTGGAATCAGACAAATCTGAGTTCAACTCAGACTTCCTGTGAGACAATCCTTGGATAAGAATTCTAAGGAGAAGAGGCTTTAGGAAGGTTGATATGATGAAGTGCGAAGCATGGGGAGAACTCAATTACACAGAGACGGTATGTAGCAGATTATAATCATCCTAGAATAGGGATGGCCGAGGGCCTGGGCTATTGGGGTGTGGGGAGTGAGGAATGCCAAGGAAATGTGGGAGCTGGCTCGGAAAAACTCTTACAAAGGAAGAGTTAACAGGACTTGGTGCCCGATTTTACTACTGGAATGAACGAGAGAGAGAAAAGTCAGGGATGGTTCCTAGGTCTCCAGTCTGGGTGATGAAGAGAACGCTAACAGTATGAAGAAAAGAAAAGTCTTTTCAGTGTGAAAGGAAGAGGTTTAGCAGAGGATATAAAAAGTTGATAGGCATGCAGCCGTTGGCCTAACAACAGGACATCAACCATGAAAACTATTAAACAGGTGCATAAATGAGAATAGAGTTTGTGTCAGGACTAGAGAGAAAGATTTGTATGTATAAGGGTAAATAACACTATCACATTTAAGAATATTTTTATTAGAAAATAAGAACTCTAGCTGTTAAACAAAAATAATGGGAAGGATATAAATAGTAGAGAGAAATGCATCCTCACAGACTATTTTTCTTAGCTATGGTACTTAGGGGATCCTATCCATTATCACAACACTGAACGAATAAACTTCTATAGAAATTCAACATATGGCCTATTTACATAACAAGCATCACAACTCCAAATTAGCCATTTTGATGTGTCAAGGAAATAACACCTTCATAGCAGACTACTTCAAAAAAATGGAAGAAAAAAGAAAGGTTTGTTTTTCTTCTACAATTATGTGTACTGGGTTTTTAACTCTTTGTCTCGTGAAAATCCCATTTTAATTGTGTGATTACACTCTAAGACAGAACAGTGATGGAATGAATTGATTGGCTGAATTATGCACGATCATTCAGAGATCAATAAACAGACTCCATCACTTAAATCTGCCCGTATTATATATCTGCCCTCATGTCCTATGTCCTGCTTGTGAAAGCAACTGTCCTGTGTACAAAAATTATAACAGCCATCTGATTCAGTTATCACAGTCAAATAACAGTAAAGGGTCTACAGAAGATGACTGGGAGGAAGCACAAGGGAGCAGTGAGTAAGCAGTATCTGTCTAATACAAAACCCATTCCACTCTAATCATATGGCGAGACAGGTGGTAGCAGCTTAGATCTTACCATGAGCAACCTCAACTTCTTCCATTTATCAAACTGTAACCAAAAGTTCTTGTCCTGCCTCTTGAGACACTGATTAAAGCTGTGTAAAGGTAAACAGGATGAAGACCACCTAGGTGCCTTCAACACAAAAGCCATAAATGAATGTTCACTGATGACAACAGCACAACTGATCAGAGGTTGAGAAGCCGACAAAACTTAGAACCAAAAATGAAACATTTCTAAAGCTTAACTTCTGTTGGGAAGTATTTCCATTTGCACGGCAAAGCAGGTCTTTGAGATGCTTCCTATTGGCAGCGCATCAAAGACTGAAATGGTGTGGCCTAAGCATTTTCTTTTCCTGATCATTACAGCGGTCGGCCAAGCAGCCTCACAAGCCCACAGACACCTATCCCCACAAAGGCCACTTGAAAATCAGTGCAAGCACAGAAACAGTCAATTGAAGGCTTTCATTAAGGGGCTCCCTAAAACAAAACGAACACAAAAGGAGTCTTGATCATTTTGCCTAAGTATCTTAAACTAAGTTGATTCCTAGAAAATTATTTAATATTTTCAGAGGCAAGGATTAAAGAAAGAAAGAAAATTTCCAATTAATATACTCCTTCCCCAGATGTTGAGGTTTTTTTTACTATCCTCTGAAATATTCCCTGCATTCAAGTGATTGTATTTTTATGCAAATTATCCTTTGGAGCGAGTCGTGTGTGTGTGTGTGTGTGTGTGTGTGTGTGTGTGTGTGTGTATTTTTAAAGGCATACAAAGAATCGGACATATTTTTTGTTCTGCTGCCCCATAAAATAGATTTTAACAAAGCTTGAGTTTAATCCAAAACTCTAATTAGAGACTGCAGCAGTATTTGCCTTGTCCAAATAGAAAATCATTCCCAAAGTTGAGTTTTCCCTACTTAGAGCTCCAACAAATATTTTCATACACAGATTTTTTTTAAAAAACACTACAATTAAAAAAACAAACAAACACTACAATTACTTGATAAAAACTGCCCCCACCCATACAACACACTGCTTTCTGGTTGATACAATTTTATGAGGCCAATCAAATACTTTATCCAGAAGGCAACTGTAGACTTCACCTTCAGAATATCGTTCAAAGTCACTGTATTCGTTACTTGAATATTCTTTTCTTTCTTTTCCAGAATGAAGCAATTTCTGACTTCCTGTCCCTTCTTTTCCCTGCCATATTGCACATCTGCTTTATCTCTAGAAAACAAAATCAATCATAATGGCAATGAATCGTTCCTTGAAGACAAACTAAACCGGTCATAAAGGTTACCCGACGCTTACTCTTTTAAATACTGGCATAAAGCCTCTTCCTCTGCATAGGTTCTAAAATTTCAGAGTCGTTTTTTTTCTTACTTGCAAGACGATTGGTAAAAGTTTTCAATATAACAACATTTCTTTAAATGTAAATAAGTGAAAAATATTACACATAATATTTTATGTAAAGAAAGAGACTGTGTTTGAAGTTCAAGGTTTTTCACTAGCTCTCAACCTACAGATTCTGTAATACACTCAAAGGAAAATGCTGCACAGAAAGAATCTTTACATGTCAGGTCTCCAAAACCTTGGCATCTGCTAAAACCTGGACTGCTGGGAATTGAAGGCTCAGGAAGTTCACAAACACACACACCAAACCCCCAAGAGGTGGAAACCTCCAGCTGAGAAGATGGGAGGTTTCAGTCGCATCCCCGTCCAGGTAAAGTCTCAGCCCTTCACCTCCTACGTCTGCAGTAAGTATTAACCGCCAAACAGAGTGGGAGAGAGCGGGGCCGATCTTCCAAGACTCGGAAAAGTCGAGCATGTGGAGAGAGCGGGAAGACCCTCTCGCATCTCCGGAGCCACCGCTGTCTTGGGCTTGGGCCGCTGTCGGCCGACTCCGGGTCCGCCCGCCCAGACGCGGCAGCGCGACCGCTTCGTCCCGCGGCCGGGTCGCTCGGCATCTACTCCCGGGCAACTGCGGCGACTTTGCCGGCACCGGGGGTCGCCGCATCCTGCTCCCGCCTGGCGCCCAAGGGGCGCGGGTTTCCCCGGACCCGCGGCCCCCGCGCCGGGCGGCGATCGAGGGCGAGACGCTGCCTGCGGAGGCGGCTCGGAGCGGGAGGGGGTGGGTCTCCGTCCGCCGGGCGGGTGGAAGGGGACTCTCGCGCGGGGGAGGGCAGACGAGGGACCGCGGCCGATTCAGATCCGGGGCGGGCGGGTCCACGTCGGAGCGCGGCGGCCACAGGCTCGCCCCGGGCGCGCGAATTGCGCCGCACCCGGCGCCTCCTCCCGCCAGCCGGCTAGCTCGCCCGTGCCGGCCCGAGAAAGGAAGGAGGGCGACCTCCGCGTCCAGTCTGCTCGGCCAGCCCGCTTCGGCGCCGAGCGGGGGGCCACACCCAGCGCCCCGGGAGGCGGCTGGGGCTGGGCGGCCCAGGCTGCGGATGGCGCGGCCCAGGCTCAGCCACCGTCCCGGCCGCGCAGGCCCCGCCGCGTCCGCCCGAGCCCAGCGTCCCGGCCCGGGCCCGGCGGGCT